AAAAAAGACACATCATAGTAAAACCAATACCTTCTCAGCTTCGCATCGAAGCTAATAATAGTATATTTTTTTTATACATTAATATATATAAATAAATATTGTTTGTTTAATATTAATATTAAATATACAAAGTAATTCTGTTATTTTAAACTTATTATACAGGTTGATTGGCATTATTCAAGAACCACTTAATTAATCGAAAACGAAAAATAACATATATTGTAGTATTCCGCATAATTGTAAAATAGCCATAAATCCTACTGCTAATTGTGTGTTAGTGTGTGCTTGACCCTCTTCTGTGTTGGGCCGGAGTGTCAATTGATCGGTATGTCTATTGAACAAATGACGGTAAATTGCCATATCAAATAAATTATATTTATTTGATTAAAAAGGTGCTATATTTTGTCATTTTTTTCTTTTAGTTATATACATTTCTCGATTTTTAAATTATGATATATTTTTTATATTCACCCCTTATACGGAATTAGGGTAACTACTTTTAAAACAATAAAAATGTTCATTTTTAAAATACCATTTTTAAATCTTTTATTTTTTTAATTAAGTAATTTTCTATTTTTTAAGATAGTTAATTATATATGTTATTACTTATGAAATAATGATGACACCTTTAAGTGTAAAGTATGACATTTTTTGGACCAGTATTTCGAAAAATAGGAAACTGTTCAATAAATACAATAAAAACAATTGAAACTCGTTTTTTACTTACAGAGAACACTTTTATTTAGGGTGATTCACTTATCAAAAACCACTTAATTAATCAATCATTTTTTTTTTTGGTTTCTTTAATTTAATGTTTTTCTAAATATATTAAACATAAACAATGTTTCATATTCATCCTTATACCTTATATGGATGTCGACCTTAATTTTTTAAACTACAACACACATAATGAACCAACTTATTTATTAGAGAATGATCTAATTAATAAAGTTACTGGTTGATAACAACTTTTGGACCTGTATTTCGGAAGTTATTGATATATTTATATGTAGATTAGAGGAAGAGTACGGCCAAAAAATGTCTAGTTATTAAAAAAAAACAGTACTCTCTATTCACCATCAGTCATTACATAAAACTATCATATCTGTATCATTTTCTTTATAAGATCATGATCTAATCAATAAACTTATTATCTAATTAATAAACTTCATTATTTGTATTTTCATTTGAAAAATTAAGGTTAACACTTTTATTAGTTACAAGGGATGAACATAAAAATATTGTTTAGTACATTAAAAAAAACATTGAATTAAAAGATGCCAAAAAAAATTATTAACATTGTTTTTAGTGTTCAATTAATTAAATGGTTCCATGATAATAGAATCATCCTGTAATTACGCTGTCGGAATTAATCGAATTTGTATTGCTAAGCAAACATAAAATAGCCATATTTTCTAAATAAAGCACAGTTATTTAATCATGATTTCATATTAAGTATAACTTCTTGATTTTCAATTCTAAATTTCTTTTAAATAAAATTATAACTTTTCGTAGTTACAACAAACAGCTTTAAATTGATAGCAAAATTGATTTCTTATCTATCAGTAAGTTTACATTATGTCTATTTTAGCAAATCAAATCGTTATTTTGAGTATATTAGAGTATTTTAATATTAAGCCACCGACTAACCACAATTGTTAATTCGGTTTTACAGTTCATAAACCGCCATCTAGTTGCAACACTGACAATAAACTAACATTAGAACATTTTTTAATACCTCTAGAAATAAAATTATTTTGCGATACTTTCTACAATATGCAGTAGGTTACGCAAAGCTAATAAAAAAATTGAAATATAAATTTAGTATCTTAAAATGCATATTGCATGCAGTGTGTAATAATACACATGTGTCGTGTACATGTAATTATTCTCATTTTAAATATTTAAGTTAAAACTGTTAATATAAAAATTTTCATCCAAAACTATATAACAAAAATAATTTAATAATAATTTTTAAATAATATTTTTCAAACATTAAAGTATTACAAAATTAGATATTGACAAAGAGTTGAAATTCTTTTTGTGTGTATTTGACAATAACTTATCATCATTAATTTTTTTTATAATACTTATTTTATTAAATTTCGAATCAACTAATATAAATGATTTATCAAATGTCGCATATTTTAAATTTATATAATTATAATTTTACAAATAATTTTCAAGTTTTATTTAAAAATACCTCACGATATTAGTCATTACTAATTGACGAATACAAACGTGTAGATAAATAAATATTTACTTCATAAATATATAATGTAAATTTTTCTTGATAAAAAAAATCGAAATTAAATAAGAACACATTAAACTAGTTTCATATGAAACATAACTGAAGAACAGTTGAGTTATCGTTATTAAATTTAAATTTGGAACTTGAATCAAGTCGTGTTAAAGTATTCTAATTACATAATAAAATTTAAGAAACTAATTTTTACTTTTAAGGTGATAGTCATATTTCAAAATTATAAAAATCTTTGCGTTTTAAGATAACTTTTTGAACACATTCTAATGTTATTTCAAAAATAGGTAAAACCAAACATCCTATTTTTATGTAAATTTTTTGTATAATATTTTTAAAAAAACTTTTGAACGTCATTAATACAAGGACAACGCAATACATAAACAAGTCAGATGTTTTGTTGGCAGTATCTGTTGCCAGAATTTAAAAAAATTTAAATATTTAAAAAATTCATTTAATAATTTTGTTATTTGATAATAAATTCATGAAATTATTCTAATACAACTTAGTCTTAAGGCACTTTAAACGGGTACTTTATGGACGATCAGATTTAAATGTGTCTCTAATAGAACTTTAATAAACTTTTTTTTAAAAAATTCACAATTTCTACATGATAACATTAGTAAAAAAAATACCTTGGAAGTTACAGAACTTAGATATTCAAATGATCACTATTAACGTTTACGCTAGTTATATCACTGCACTTATGTATAACAATTTTTAAATATTTAAAATATAAATCATAAAAAGTAGTAAAATAGTATTTATTAATTATATGATAACATTTATTTTTCAGCTAATGAACTCATTACATTTTACGGCTATTTTTTTCATATCAATCAATGGTAAAAAAGTATTATGTATTCTAATTTTAAAAAAATTTAAAATGAGTAATTAACACAGCTTTTTTATTTTTATTTTGTTTTTAATCAAGTTTAACGGTCATGGGTTTTTTTTGGCTTCTCTAACTGACAAGGTTTGTTAAGTACAAATAGTCCAGGAAAGGACAGTTAGGCTGTCAAGGCTTTATAACTATTGTGACTTCTTCTTTCTCGCCTTAATCTCAACTACTTGGGGTCGGCCACCTTTATCCTAAATTTCCACTTGACATTTGAAACCTAACCAACATCATCTACGCTCACATCAGCTGTCCTCATATCGCAAACCATAACCATATAACCATTATGACTCAGTTATATATTGTAGAGGGTCTTAAAAACCATTTCTCCAACTGATATTTTACAGGGTGTAATGAACCCCTATAAGTACCATATTCGCCATTTTTATTTAAATTATATTCATTAATAATTAACAAAAAGCAAAAATATCAAGTATTGTAAAATTACTTATTTACATATTTAAACATAAAAATTATTAAAAGAAAAGTACTACAAAATAGTCACTAAATCAGAAGTGTAGGTTTGTCAGAATATGCCAAGCCACTCTGAAGTTGTTAAAAAAAATATGGTAGAATTTTAAGCATGACTTAACTTAACTTTATTTTAGTTGATCCTAAAATAGTAGCGTTTATACATAGAAAGTTGACAAATACAATGTGTTTGTTTTATGCGTTATTTTCATTTCGACACGTGTGTTTATTCAATGAGAATTTTTATTGATAGAAAAATAAAAGTTATTATATAATTTAAAGTATGAACCTTAAAGGATTGAAAATTATTGTTGAGAGTTAAACGAAACTAGTATTTTATGGCATTTATGCTACTCAGCGTAATTTTCCTAATACAAGTTTTACCGTAAAAAATGTTTAATTGAGTCATTCTTAACATTATATTAGTTATAAAAAATTTATTTTTACCAAAACGGGTCATGGGGTTTTTTTATAATCACTGATTCGACCTAATGATAGTATGCAATGACTACTATATACATAGGTTAGAGGCTGTGTACTTATATTTTTTAGATTTATTCGTGATGATAAAAATAACTTAGGTTAAATTATACCCAAATTATAAGAGATGATTACAGCTACTTCAATATAGCTTTATGGTTTTATTTATTATGGTTTCAATAACTTCAATAATAAAATTTATAATCTTTTTTCGTAATTATGAGAAATACTATCATAAGTAATAATATATTTCAATATAACTTTTTTGGAGATGAGGAATAATGTATTTTATATAAATAATAATGTAGGTATATGATAAACCCATAGTATTATATTTAGAAATTCATAATTGCAGATTTGCATAGAGTAACGTCACCTGTCATTGGTATTTTGCCAGTCTTTTTAATGTTTTAATAAGTAGTCTTTTGTTTCTTCAATAAGTCTCATATTTGATTAAAAAATATTATTTAAAACTTATGCCAATTACAGGTTCTGCTCCCCTATATCAATCACTAGAAATAACACACTACTCAAAATATAAAAACGTTTTTTTTTTAATGTATTTTAATTACCACATTCATTTGCATTAATCCAAAGTCATTCTAAATAAAAATAAACATTATATATTGTTTATGGTTACTTGTTCTATCAAATAACAACAATTGTAATTATTATTAGGTAAACTTAACTTCCTCTATGAAATTTAGTTTAATTCTGTGTTTATTATATGAATTATAATGTATAATATATTTTAAATGTTTAAGCTTTGAAAATATTTGCAACAACCGTTTTACTACCTCATGGTACGTTGATAACTATTATTCAAACATTCCGAACAAATTAATTTTTAAATCATGGTGTTTAAAATATTGATTGTTATTGTTTTAAAACAATATCAAACAATGTGAATATTAGTAAATTTACTAAGAAAATGCGCATCATTATATTTACAGAAGACGATGATCTATGTTGTGTTTGTCTTGATAGAATTACGTCAATCATAAATGTACCATGTGGTCACAAAGTTTGCGATATATGTGCAATTCAATTAAGAATAAATAAAGCAAATAAATCAAACAATTTTCCTCTTTGTGTAACTTGTAGAGCTGAAGTTAAAGGATATACTAGGCAAAGTTTGTATTTATATGACTATATATTTTCATCAAATTTTAAAAAAGAAAGTTACGTTAAAATACATTTATGAACAAATAATGAAACTAAAAAAATTAAATTAATTAAAATCGGAAAAAAAGTAATACGATTTTTCTTCTGGAAAAATTAAAGATCACATATCAATATGATTCCTTCTGTTTAAGTATATATATATATGTACCTTTTAAATGTTTAAATATACTAATGAAATTTCGCAGAAAAAAGCATACATTAATTATATAAAACAAATAGGAAATAATAAACAATATGTAATGGTAGCATATAAGATGAAGGGTAATAAACTATGTCTAATTTATTATATAAGATATAATAGTATTTTATAATATGTAGATTAGGGTGGTCCTTAAAATACAAATTTTCAAAATTCGATTTACGCGCACCAAAAAATTGTTCTAATACATGTAAAAATAAACTGTGCAAAATTTGGTCCCGATAGGTTGACGTTAACACGTGCCGCAAGAGGGTTGAAAATTCGATCAAAAGGGTAGTTTTTCAGTTATTGTGCTTTATCTCAAAATATATGATTTTTATGTAAAAGTTTATAAGAAAGAAATTATACATATAATTATTTTACACAAAAAAGATTATTAGCGAAAAACCCATAAGTCAAATATTTACCTCCTAAAAGTCAAAAGTTCCATAAATATTATGTTTACCAGTAAAATTCATATATTTCGGCAATTTAAGTATATACGATGTACCGTTCAAGTTATAAAAAAAATTTTCATGTAAAAGTTATTTGAAATTTAATTTTCTATTAGTTTTGTAGAAAAATAAAATTGTTTTACGTGTTTTCTGGCGAGGTAATAAAGAAAACTTATAAATAACAATNACAGAAGACGATGATCTATGTTGTGTTTGTCTTGATAGAATTACGTCAATCATAAATGTACCATGTGGTCACAAAGTTTGCGATATATGTGCAATTCAATTAAGAATAAATAAAGCAAATAAAACAAATAAATCAAACAATTTTCCTCTTTGTGTAACTTGTAGAGCTGAAGTTAAAGGATATACTAGGCAAAGTTTGTATTTATATGATTATATATTTTCATCAAATTTTAAAAAAGAAAGTTACGTTAAAATACATTTATGAACAAATAATGAAACTAAAAAAATTAAATTAAATAAAATCGGAAAAAAAGTAATACGATTTTTCTTCTGGAAAAATTAAGATCACATATCAATATGACTCCTTCTGTTTAAGTATATATATATACTATGTATAATATACATTATATAAAAAATATTGCTTTAATGAATTTATATTTTTTATTTATTAAATAGATAAACTTCATTTAAACGATTTATTTCCTTATGGTGAGTGAACTTATGGTGACAATAATTTTATTATATTATATACATTATTACTATATTATATTATATATATATATATCACCCATATTAACATATTACTATTAATTTAGTGAAAGACGGTGAATGTAAAATTTGTTTGAAAAAAAGAAGAGTATCATTAAAAAGTAATGTTTGTGGACATGAATTATGTTCTTACTGTGCTCGGGACATACAATTAAAAAATAAAAAAAATGAAAAAAATGAAAAACTATACTGCAAATTTTGTGGAAATGACGTTGACAATTTCAAAAGTTTGTTATTACATAATGTTATTTAAAAAATAGTAATACTGGTGGATGTTTAATTTACCACAAAATTTTGTGGTCAACTTTGAACAGTAATTTTTCTATACTAATGTTGTTAATGTTATCAAACGTAATATGTGATAATAATTAACCTTAAATCAAAATTATCCAATTTTGCAGTAAATATTTCACATTAACTAACAATACATGACTGACTGATTATTATCGCCATTTTTTTTTAGAACTTTCTCTTAACGATTTGAAAATATTTAATGGTAAGTTATTTAGTATACTTATTTTAATGATTAAATTTGTTTTTTTTTGTTCGAGTTCTCATACTAGGTAATTAATAATTTATATTAAGAAAATCTAATTAAAATTTAAATCAAGAATATAAAATATTTAGTTATTATTGTAATAACAAGAATCATTTGTAACAAGGGTAGATTTTTGGTAGAACTTAATTTTTTTTAACTTAATTCATTTTTTTGTGATTTTTCTGATAAAAGTCAAAATAGATTCTGAATTATATGAAGATATACAGTATGATTTATTAAGAATACTACCACCCATTTTTTCATCAAATGTTTTTTTTAATAAAAATTTACAAAATAAAATTTTATTAATTTTATAAAATATGGTAAATACTAAGTTTATTTTAAGAAATATCTAAGGGTAGATTTTTTATGTAATTTTGAAAATTTATGAGAACATCTTATTGTTTTTTTTTCTATTAAAAAAAGAATAGTCATAAATATGTTCACTGGTCAAAAACCAGTTTTATAACATTACTTTTTAAGTAAATGTAATTTTATATACTCATCTATCTCGTGTATAACTAAAATTTATAATAACTCAAAATGCATTAATACTAAATTGGTTATCGACTAATCAACATTTTATTTTATTTTTTCCAAAGTAAAAAATTTATAAAATCTAAAAATCTACCCTTAGAAATCATTTTTATTGTAATAAACTTTATATTTATTCTAGGTTTATAAATATAAATAAAATTTTAATGTGTTCATTTTTCAGAAAATATCAATATTTAACTAAAAAATAAGAAGTAGTTTTCTTTTAAATAACGCCGTAGAAATAAAATCATCCTATGTTAATTAGTTACATATTTCTTATTAAATAAACTAAAATATTTTTTTGATTTTTTCCTTTTATGACTTATTTTTTAATTTTAGAAGTGAAAAATAAAATGAATTGTAATAGTAAGTTTTTTAATACATAATATATAATTTACCATATTTATTTGTAACTGATATTAAATGAAATGAAAAAGAACATTTATATGTCTATAAAGAGTTAAAGTTTTATAATATAGAATGGTAACTTTATATGATACCAAAAAATAAAAGATCTCCATATTTAAATTAATGACATTTTTTAGCTTTAATATCATTGAATCATAGGATGATTTCTTTTTTTTTATAACTATAATACACTTCAATGGGTTTAATTTGATTTAGAATAGAGCAGACGTTCCGGAACATTTTGAAAAATTGAGTTGAAAAAATGTTTCACATGCCTTAGTGGTTTCTTTCAACTCCTTTCTGTACTTAGAGTTTCCATTGCATTTTAGTAAAAATCATACCAAAATAAAGCTTCTTGTCTCTAGTCTATGTCAATGTATTTTTAGAAGAGTTATAGTAAAATGAAAAAGTAACGAATTTTTAAGAAACTTTGCAATTTTTGGCTTTATGACAAATAGCTTCTAGAAAAATTATCGGAGGAACATTTGAATTTCAAAAATTATCCCTAAAATCTACCCTTAGGAATAATTTTGTATTCAATAAACTTAATATTTACTTTAAGTTTATAAATATAAATAAAATTTTAATTCATACATATTTATGAAAAAATAATTTTTTNATAAATAAAATTTTAATTCATACATATTTATGAAAAAATAATTTTTTAACGATAAAATGGCGGTAATATTGTCAATAAAGAACACTAAATAAGTCAACAATTAAAAGGCGGCACTAATTTACACGCTTTACAGTAAAAAAAAACTTTTTTTTCTTAAAAATCATTTTATTTAACTCAATGTGTCATATAAATCTTAATTGAATTCAAACACTGTATTTAAATTTTTTGAAAATTAGAATTTTATTTTATTTATAATTAAATTCTAAAAAACTGTATACCTCATTGAAATTTGGTTGTAAAATATATTGGATATAAATAAAAAGATTTATTGATCTTCACAAAAGATTTAAATAATTAGCTTGATCTGTTTGATTTTTGGTCAGGCCTGGGTTAAGGGCAGGATCGAACACTCAAGGGTCTATGAACTTGAGGGTCCGTCACATTTTTAATAAATATATTACACTATATAAGGTTACTATTTTATATTTAAATACATATTTTATTAAAAAAATTTAAAATTTAAGTTTTGTTTATCTATATGAAACTATCACATTTCAGATATATTACTTCAAAGGATAATTAATATTGGTAATGTGATATTTTTTTTTGTTAATTTAAATGTTTAGAAAATTTCATGATTCTACTCTTTATTTAATATAATAAAACATTTTGCAATACTTAAAATATACAAAAAAAATTCTCATATCAAACCTTAAGTTTAAAGCAAATCTTAATTCCTTGAAAACCTTTTACCATGAGCTACGAGAGAAAGTTGTATAATGCTTGTCACTGAGTTTTGTTTCCTCGTCGTTGTGTAAAACGTTGTTTCCCTTTGTGAAATGAAATAGTTTCACAAACTTAAAATGTTTTTAATCATAAAAAAAAATATTTATTTGCTCAAATCAAAATCACATTATTTCGTTACAGATATAGATGAATCAATATCTATATTTGAAAATACTTTTAAAGAAAAGGACTATCGTAAGACTTTTTTTAATAAATACACATAATCGGGTTTATTTTATTCAACTTTAACTTATATTTGAATTTGAATAAGATTACAATTTATACAGTATAATAATATAAAGTTGTTATATTTTTCTTTTAGAAAGTTTGTTATTTTTTTTTTTTAAAGAAGGTAGTATATTTATAAAACAAATTATTTTTTATTATGAAATAAATAAATTTTTCAATTTTGGGTTATTTTAACGAGTCAAATATTTTATTTTACAGAAGAGGGTTATTTTACAGAAATGAATACATGTAATAATTAACAATATATTATTTATTATTTACTTATTTTTTCATGTTAGACAAAATATAAGAGTGTTTAAGATTTCGTCGTTTATATTGCGTACCTAAGTTTTTCTAGGTTTTCAGGATGATGAAAAACAAATTTAAATTCAGTTTAAATAATAAAACTGAATTTTATTTCATAATTATGAATAGAA